TTTTTACATTTTATGTATAAAATGTTTTTTTTTTTTTATCAGTGAAGATTCAAAATAAATAAACGGTGCCGGCTTTATCGTGAAATCCTGTTTTCCCTTTGATTTTATTAAATAATCTGTTAATTAAAAGTTAATTCAACTGAAAAATTATAAAAAGACAAAATTATTGAATCTCTCATATTTCCCTCAAACATGTTTCAAGAAGAGACACAGCCTTTGGTTCAACTTTATTCTAACCCACAGATGTACAAATCACAAAACAAGATTTACACTTTAAATTAAAGCTTTAAATCAAATCTAAACTTTAATTCAAAGCTAAAAATAATCTGTATACAAGAAATAATCTGTATACAAGAAACAAAACCACAATGAGTGCAAATAGATCAAATGATGAAGAAAAATATAGAATTTTAAATATAGATATCCTGATGAATGCTCAATAATCCAGGTAGAAAAATCTAAAAAAGTTAAGTCTGGTCCTCTGGACGTTCAAAAAACAAACAACAAAAAAATGTAGAAATGTTTCTTCTTTCAGACGCAGAACTCCTCAAAGTCTGTTCAACTCCTTTAGATATTGTTTTTTTTTTTTTTTCATTTAGCCTTTATTTATCCAGGTTAGTCTCATTGAGCCACGAGAACTCATTTTCAAGAGAGACCTGTTTAGGGAGCACATGGTGGGGGTTAAGGGCCTTGCTCATGGGCCCAGAGTGGGGCGAATGAGGGTGGGGGCAAGTGTGGGTGTTTCATCCACCCCACCCACAATTTTGATGTTGTCGGGGCCGGGGCGTGAACCGGCGATCTTCGGATCACAGGCCCACCTCTCTAACCTCTGCGCCACCACTCCCCATATTGTTTCTCCTCGCAGAACAGAGAAGGAAATAAACGTTTCTTGTATCATCCGTTGACTCGACTAACTGGTTGAATCATGCTGTTACCACGGTGACCTGCTGACTTAAACTCACACTCGCTCCTGCTGACTCCTCGTTTCTGTTTTGTCAGATTTGGGACATCCGTTCTCTGGAGTGTGTCCACGTCCTGCAGACCAGCGGCGGCAGTGTTTACTCCATCGCCGTCACCAACCACCACATCGTCTGCGGCACCTATGAGAACCTCATCCATGTAAGGAACAGTTGGTTTTACTGTACCTGACCTGATCTGATGTTTCTTTTTCCAGGAGGTTAAAGGTTGTTTTCATGACGAGTGTGTGTTTAGCCTGGTGTCCTACACAAACACACACCCCGTGTGTTGGTGGTGTGGTCAGAGTCTTAGTGGATGAGATGGAGCAACAACAAACTAAAATGATTTTAACCAATAATGGGTTTTATTTAGTTTTGAAAAGCTCACTACAGGAAAAAGACATCTTAACTTGAGATTGGATTTAGTTTTGCTAATGTATTATTTAGAGATGCACCGATTCGATATCAATATCTGGATCGGGTATCAGTGACAATGTGCCCGATCCAATTCCCAATCCAACCTGCAGAGATTTCCGATCCATGATGCACGTTGGCTTCAAACTACGGAATGGATTTCCTGAACGGCGGTGTGTCTCATGAGCCCAGAGTAATAAGACCCGCCTCACATTCAGGAAATCCATTTCATAGTTTGCAGCCAGCTACAACGTGAGGACTGAGTTAGCAGCACTGTGGCTAACAGCTAACCAACTTTTCATCTAAACATGTCCGCTGTGTGGAAGTATTTTACACTAGAAACACCACAAGACAAGACAGCAACGTGCAATGTCTGCAGAGCCATAGCGCCACATTAAACTGCAGTAAAGTTAGTTTTACGTTGGACATTCGAGCTCCGGGGCTTCAGCGGTCTGCTCCTCTCGCTGAACCCTTAGCAGGCAGCCCGACCCCGGCCAGCTGTGTCCAGTCTGACCCGCTCAGTCTGCCCGTCTCTGAGGAGGGACAGACTGAGTGCGGCTGACCAATATCAGGCTGCCTGCTTCGGATTGAACAAGAAGAAGACATCGCTGAAACCACGGAGTTCTAATGTTTACAGAGAAGTTGCTAAACGTTATCATAATCAATGACCAACAACTATCAGTTGTAGAAAACAAAGGATTTCACAGCTTGATACTTGCAGTCAAGATATAGTTTACCCTCCAGGAGATATTTATCAGTACAACAGTAAACAATCATAAAAAAAAAACA